TGCATGCTGAGCCACTTTCCATGCACCACACAGTGGAGCTCCTGACGAAGTGCATCACAAATTTTGGACGAATCTGCAGGACAAGCTGGTCCATTGGACCCAGAGGTTCCCCAATTTTGTCGGTGGCTTTGATGCTAATGCACACATGAGCTATGAGACGGAACCACACATCGGAACGCATGGATTGGAGGCACGAACAAACACGGCTGGAACTTGTCTTCAATCATTGCTGCGCCACATTGGAGGATGGCTCCCATCCACCTACGAATGTTGCCATTCTGGGGACACAAGCACGTGGGTCAGCAATGTTAATGGGCAAGGGGCGAGATGCGATTATATCCTGCTACCCTGTGCTTGGCAGGGACAGTGCCGGACTGCACCAGATGATACGCTGGACGCGGGCACGAACGGCATTGACCACATGCCGCTGCAATGCAAGATAGAGATCTGTCTGCCTCGAGGAAAGAAAATGAAGCCCACAGGAGGTTTTGACAGGCGTGCTTTGCAGCGATGTTCTCATACGAGACTGGCAGACTTTTTCCAAGACTATCCCAAGATCCCATGGAGCATGGATGTCCACCAACATGCCACAGAATTAGCTCAATGGATTGGGAAACAATTGCGATTGCACTTCCCGCCAGCCAAGAATAAACCTCGCAAATCGTATATCTCAGACCAAACCTGGCAGATCCGACAGACACGTACAAGTATGAGGAGGCTGATGGCTCACCATTGCCGACATGCATCTTCAATGACAAGATCTGTTGTGCTGCAGGCTTGGAGAACAGGAGAAATGCTACCCACTAAGGATCTTCTCCTTATGGCAATGACACATGTCAAACTGATTGTTCAGATTCGCAGACGGGTTGCCCAGCTGACCAAAGATCTACAGAAGGCCCTTCGTCATGATCGGACAATGTCGCTAGAACAGCTTGGGGAGCAGGCTAAACACATGACCCAAGCAGATTTTGCTGCAGCGCTTAAGGCGCTTGGAGTCCAGAGCAAGAAGAAGCCATCATATGCCCTGCCGTTACCGATGGTGAGAGATATGGATGGGACACCGCTGGACACCCTCGGTGCAATTGCCGAGCGCTGGCGCAGCCATTTTTCACAACAGGAGGACGGGCAGCCAACTACAATCGAGGAGTTGATGCACCTCTGTGATGCGAAGGCTGCGACAGGTTTTGTTTGCCCTGACTGGTTCCAACTCCCAACTTTCCAGGAGGTTGAGGCAAGTTTTCGGCGAACCAAAACCAATAAGGCATATTTTGCTGATGACATTCCAGGCGACTTGCTGTCCCGCATCCCACATGTTCTCACGAATTGCTTCTTTCCGCTGCTTTTGAAACAGGCGGCGTACCAGAAGGAAGCCCTGCTCCACAAAGGTGGACGACTTGTGCCGGCCTACAAGAAAGGCGATTCCACTGATTGCAATAGCTATAGAAGCCTTTTCATTTCTAGCCCACTAGGCAAGGCATTGCATAGCATCTATCGTCAAGAGCTTGGCCAGATTTTCGATGGCCAACGTCTCCAGATGCAACTGGGAGGACTGAAAGGACATTCTATTGTTCAAGCCAGCCATGCCCTTCGCCTATACCACACCAATGCCTTGAAGACAGGCAAAAGCTGTGCTTTCCTTTTCATTGATATCCAAAGTGCATTTTATCGGCTCCTACGCCAGCACTTGACGACCTGCACACAAGATGAACGTGGAGTAGAACAGCTCTTCCATAGTCTGGGCCTGAATGACTATGCCTTTGAAGAATTCCAGGCATTGTACCATGGAAAGCCGGCATTGGAGGCATCAGGCGCAAGCCCATTTCTGGTCAGTCTGTTCCAAGAGTTCTACCAGTCTACCTGGTATTCAGTCACAGGCAGCGAAGTGCTGACCCTGACTCGCAGAGGAAGCCGGCCGGGCGATTCATTCGCCGACATCTGCTTTGGATTTGTGCTATCTCGAATCATGCGGAAAATTGAGGAGCAGCTGATTTTCGATTTCCCATTCATGATGATGAAATGGAATGGGCAAAGTTCTCCCTTTCCATCAGATGCCACTCAAAGATGCCTCGGCCCATTGCTCCCTATATGGGCGGATGATGTCGCAGTGGCAATCCAGCACGATAATGCGAGTGAACTCCTAAAGGCGATCCCGCAGATTGCAAACCATGTCCTTCATGCTCTTGCGGTTGCGGGACTTCAGCCAAATCTGAAGCCAGGGAAAACTGAGATCCTGGTTGAATTGCGCGGAGAAGGCAGTCTGCAGGCCAAGAGAGATTGGCTGGAGGCAAACTACAAATTCCCGCTGACATCGCCGCTGTTTGATGAACCTCTCCGATCCGCGCACTGCTATAAGCATTTGGGCACCTTTGTCCAACAAAGTGCCAAACTCACTAAGGATCTCAGTGTGAAGTTTGCCATTGCCCATGACACCTTCACGAGATTTCGACCGCAAATCTTCGGCAATCGAAGCCCACGGCTGAAGACTAAGGTACAATATTTCCGGTCGCTCATCCTAAGTGCAATCACCTTTAGCTGTGCAACTTGGGAGATGCCCACCAAACGACAAGCGCTGCAGATGCGTAACGGGTTCCTCAGACTCTATAAGAGATTGGCATGGGCACACCGAGGTTCCACAGTGAAGGAATGGAGTTTTGATCAGGTCAGAGCATATCTTGAACTCCCGCAACCTGAGGAGGTCTGCCGTGAAGCGCGGCTGAGATACCTCATGCAGCTGATCCGCACTGGACAACCACACACGTGGGCGCTGATTCAAGAGCAGAAGACTTGGTATGCCATTGTATGCGAAGATCTGGAATGGCTGCAGGCTTTCTGCCCGGAGAACGATATTCCTACTGGTGCAGAGCATGACTGGTGGAAAGCAGAGGAGTGGGCCCAGCACCATCCTCGACAATGGAAGAGCGTCATCAGAAAAGCGATGGCACGGGCTGTGAGCTTCCATGTTCGATGGTATGACTGGTCTACTTGGCATGCTGACATCCAGAATGAACTTGTTGAGATCGGAGCCATCGCTATCCCACGACCACAGCTGGCTGATGTCTTCTGGTGCCTATCCTGCGGGAAAAAGTTCGGATCAAACGCGGCGATGGCAGTGCATGCCTTCAAGAAGCATTCACGAGTCCAGACAGCCCGACGGTTTGTCGAAGGTCAGACATGCCTATGCTGCCTCAAAAAGTATGGCAGCTATGTCTCCTTGGTCAACCATGTCAAGCGGCAAACATCATGCATGCAGTTTTATCAGACAAAGCCTTATTTGCTTGACCCGCCACCCGGGGTCAACAGCCGTGCTGATCGAACGCGGAATGACCGACTACATGACCCCTTCATGCAGGCCGAAGGGCCCCATGAGGCCAGAGATGGAAGCTCTGCGATTACAGATCCACAGATCCAGGACGAGTGCACCCGACTTCAAACGATGTGGGATGCTGCATTAAAGGTGCCTGGCGTTGACGAGATGCTGCGACAGCTGAAAATGGCTACGCTCTCCTCGTATCTGTATCCCATCGAGCTCTCTACTTGTTTTGAACGATGGTCGTATTCAAAGGAAGAGGACTGGACTATGACACAGCTTTGTGCCATGAGATTCTTTCAGCAAAATTTTTCGTTTGAGTGGTTCCTTGGTGAGACCGAAGGGACCAAAAGCCTGCCACAGCAGTCCCTTGCTTTCTTTGCTGCGCAAGCACAAAGCTTGCAGGGGCTCTCTAGCAAGGTTATCAGACCCCCGCAATACAAGCCCAGAGTGTTTGCCCACCTGTTTTCGGGGCACCGCCGAATTGGAGACATCCAGAGTCATCTGGAACAAGCTGGAGTTTTCGCCATATCGGTCGACATAATTTTTCATGCTGACTTTGGCGACCTAGCGAAGCCCGAGACTTTCTCCTTTTTCGCGAGAGCTTTAGCTGAAAACGTTTTGCTGGGATTCATCGGCGGACCGCCGTGTGAAACGTGGTCCCGAGCACGTGGCACAATCCTATCTGACGGGCAGCCGGGTCCAAGAATCGTCCGAAGTCTTGCTCGGCCGATGGGACTCCTGGGTTTGAGGAAGCGAGAACACGAACAAGTTGTGTTTGGAAGCAGATTACTCGGCATTACGCTGAAGTTGATGACGATTGCCCTACGCACTGGCAAGACGGCCATCCTGGAGCATCCAGCTGAGGACAATGTGAACTGCCACCAAGTTTGCATTTGGCGACTGCCTGTCGTTTGTACGTTGTTGCGCTTCCAACAATGCAGACGCATTAGAGTCTTTCAGGGATTTTTTGGAGCGAAGTCTCCGAAACCAACTGACTTGCTCTGCGTCAATGTGACTGAGAAAGCAGAACAGATGCTACTCAGTGGACGAACAACCGCGTTACCGCAGACAGCCTCGATTGGCAAAGGAACACAAGGTGAGTGGCTTACGACGTCACTGAAAGAGTACCCCAGTGATTTTTGTAGGTTGCTTGCGAATATCTTCCTGGAAAGCCAGCAAGACTGTGGAGGTAGCGAGACCCTGCCTGAGTGGTTCACCACCTGCTGTGATACCCTGATTGGCACATTTGACCATGAGGCAGGTATGGGTCTCGACTACCATGGTAAGAGGCTGTTCGAATTTAATTAGTTTGCATAGCGGCCGCAGACAGACGTCCTTGGCGAACGCAAGAGGAAAGTGCCAAAAGCACGCCCCAGGGCAACACATCTTACTTGTTCAAGGTGGAGTCATACAATTTTAATCACCCTTAAGCCAAGAAACATATCATACAAGTTGACATCAACATGTTCTCAGCAATCTTTGAGCAAAATACGCCTATTTAAGCCTATTTAAGCCTCATTGGCTACGCAGAGGGCCAGAGGATTTTTAAATATCATTCAGAATCCAAAAAGAGAATCCGCATCCATCAGGGGATTAGGAGCAAGGACGCTACTAGGAGCAAGGGCATCGCTACGAACGGGGCTCCTACATGTCGAATCCAATCCCTGGACCTCCAGCGAAGCGGAGCCAGGACGTGACGCCCGTCGTTTCGCAGTCGCGCAGCGTCGTTTCAGGTGTGGGACCTTGGGGAATCCGGGGAAACGGTCGGAATCTCCAGTGAACGGTCGGAGAAAAATGGTACCGCCGGTATCTTTTCTTGGGATTTCTTGGGATGTGTGCAAAAGCCTTCAACTTGAAGTTTTGGAAGGCATCACGAAGGGTGTTGTGTAGTTGTTGAACCGGATTTTAACCCGATGTGTTTGTATTTCTTTGTGGGCTGAAGCTAGGATTCTTCTTGCAGTACCAGGATGGCATCAAAATGGCAGGATACTAGTACAATCGGTTGGCAACCAACGGGTTTCTAAGTTGAAGAAATAGCTGCTGGAAGTAAGAGCCAACCAGGTTCGCTGAGTTAGATATATATAGCTCTTAGTTACAGTTCGACAGTTCGATGTTTATTGTAATACTTTTTGACTGGGCTGAGAGCGGTCATTAGCGGTTTGTTGATGTGCTTTTTACAACCACGTTCGAGGCTATGGTTGTGAGGAAGGAACGTTGCAGCCGAGTTGCCCTGAGAATTGGTTGAGCAATTCTGAATTAAGTGCTGTGAGTCAGAGTGAAAATTTGAGGGGCGGGGATGTTTGGACTCACAGGAAGTTCTGAATTGACGGAGTATTTTGTTCATGTTTCCTCAGAATAGCCAGCAACATGAATAGCCGCTAATCCGGCGTTTTCATTCTTTCAAGGGCAGCCTAAACAAAGGGGCGGTTTGTTCACAGCCGTTGTGCTCAGGCCAAGAGAGTGAGGATGAGGCGGATGAGCTGCTTGGTGCCGGAAAGAGGGTCCTGCAGGGGATGAGACTGGAGACCGGCAACGGCTTTGCGAAAGGGGCGAAGGAAGACGTGTTCCAATATGACTTGGTCATGTCGACGTTTTTGGAACCGGACCGGAATCTGACATGCCACATGGCTCTCGAGCTTTTGAAAGCACATGGCTCGAAGAAGCGATACTCAGAGGACATTGGTTCGTCTCATGTTCGTCTAACATGAGCCAATTGGTTGCCGCCCCTCCATCGCCCACAACCCCGATCGTTGGGTAGACCGGTCTATAGACGGGCAGGTTGTTTGACCCTCGTACACATGCTTAGGTAGTTGCTGTCTAATGGGCTATGGGTCACCAGGACGACTGGGCTCCGGTTCTGCCCTCCTAAGATCATCCTCGCTCCGGGTGCCAGGACCCACAGCCGACGGACTACACGATTGTCATGTTTGAAAAGTCACGAATTGAACCTCTAGTAGCTTCTTTGTTACTACTAGTAAGGCACTTGTTACTAGTAGCGATGCACTTGTTCCTAGTAGCTTCTTGTTATATATTGGGTTGGAGGCCATCCTTACTAGTAACAAAAAGCAACTAGCAGCTAGAAGCTTCCTTGGAAATCGTTTCACCTGTAACAAGAAGCTACTAGTAACAAGTGCATCGCTTCTAGTAACAAGTGCCTTACCAGTAGGAACAAGGACGCTAGTACTAGATGTGCCAGACCTCGACCGCGCCGGCGTCCGAACAGTCCCCGGTGAGGTCCGACGATGATCTGCTCTTTATTTAGAGTCACCGGCGACCAGTCCCGCGGTACGGCGGCCATTGTCCCGGTGATGTCTCGGTCTTCAACCCAGATGACGGTAGGTCAGGAGAGCTTCGCTGGAGCGGCTCGTGGATCAGGGTTGGTCTCAATGGACGGTCATTGGTATTCCTGTCCATGTTCAGATTCTTTATTATGGGTGTCCTGGAACTGGGTTCTGGCTTTTGGTCAGCTATAGTCGTATGTTGTTTGCTCTAACTTCAGTTTGCAGATATTCACGGGGAAAGACGAGCATACATGAAGAGACTCTGCCTTTGATTGCCTTTGGATGGTGTGGATCAGGTTTACAACATTCAACATTGTTGTAGCAATTTGTAGCATGCCATTGAATCATCGAAATACTGTGGCCCACTGTGATTGGAAGTGGTGTTCTTCAGTGCGGGAGATGGTAATCTGTTTGGTCAGAATCGCCACAGTTGGTGGCTGTTCGGTGATCTTGTGGCGTGGATCCAGGCACACACAAGACCAACATCCGGAAAGGGCACTCCGTTTCTCAACATTTCTGGAGTCGATATCAGGTTTTGCTGGGAGCGGATACTTTTCCATTACATAGATATATGATATCCGTCTACATTCAACTTCAGATCCAAAAGGATAGCTTTAAAGCCGTAGGTGACCGCAGGATGAATGGAATTGTGAGTTTCATCTCCTGATCCCGCCGACCACATTACTCAACCCACTTGCTTCCACCGAAAACATGGGGTGGAAGCCTCGACGAAAGCCACTGAAGTCTGACTTCAGCCTGCGGCCGAGACTGCGCGAAGGGCGGTGCTGGTGAACAGCCTGAACAAATTTGTTGTTTTAGTGCCCAAATAATAGCCATCCAAAAGCAACTATATATCCCTCCATGAACTTGTTTGTGTCTATATAGTTATGCCGAGCCGCACGTAGATGTTCGGGCGCACAAGATGTCGCACACACGCCGAAGGCCATGTGCCTCATAAACGTCCCCCAAAGTCGAAACCGTTCAAAACCACCGTTAAGGTTGGTTCTTTGGATACATGACGGCCCACCCAGCAAATGGCTAGGTCTCAAGCTGCAACAATATTTGTTCGAAGGTTATACTCAAGGTCATATAATTTCCTAAGAGTGATGGCCTCCAACCTAACAGCGATGGGGTCCAGTGTCAAAGATGTTTCAGCCACAGATGAAGCTTTCCGGGAACGACGTCGCGGTGTGAAACACCGTGATGTTGCCGAAGCACCCTTCGCTGCCCTTTCACCCGGCTGAAGAACACCGATTCTAAAGGAATTCGGTTGGGCGTCGGTCAGTGGATGCAGTGGATGCAGCTGTTTCCCGCCGATCAGAGGTGAACATGCGAAAAAGGGATAAACCCACATTTTGTGTCATGTCATGCTCATGTCATGCTCATGCAATGTCAGCCAAGCTGGGTGCAAATTCCCCGCAGTCACCATGTGGTCATGTTGGTGTTGTTGCCCCTGGCATTTGGAGGAACCCTACTCGGTACAGATTGCCTAATTGGAAGTTCTTACAGGACGAATCTTGGGGTGGCTGGACCAGCGGTGCTTTCCAAGCAGCAGTCCGTCCATAGAATTTCTTGAAGGCTCACCACAGCAAAGAAGTTTACCAAGGCGGGGCGGCTCGCATGCAAGTCGCCACGAGGGCGAAGAGCCACGGTGTTGCGAACGACCCCGGAAAAGGTCATGTTGTAGGAAGCATGTTATGTTTAATTCGTTATTACTTTTTCGTGTTTGTAATTAATGTTCATAGACCCCACAGTGCCCTCTCACAAGACACTCCTCAATGTTCGTGCTTATCGAGGGTTTCAGGCAATGCAAAAGTGGCTCGGATGATGCTGTTCTGGTCCAGGGTTTTGAGCTATGGTGGCCAAAACCACGATGCATTGGCAATTACCACTTTTGGAACCAATCCTCTACACCTTCCCAAACTAACATAGCATCCCGGAGGGTCCCTTCCAAGACTATTTTCCTTTACAAACAAAGTAAACCCCTCGATCATTGGAGTGTACTTGGTAGTTTGGAAGCTAACACCGTACCTTTCAACCGGTTTTCCGGGTCATCTCCTCTCGTCCGCGACGAAGTCGCGGCGAAGTCGTTTCGACGAGTGAAGGCAAAAGGGTGGACGGATGGACGGTGAACGAGGGCAGCGAAGGACTGGGTTTGGCGAAAGCAGGACTGTTCTCTCTCATGGCGAACAAACGAGAACGCCATGAGGGATGGGTCCTCAACCTGGGGGCGGTCTTGTCCACCATTTGCCGCCGCCAACGACTGACACATACCGACATCGGGATGGGTATCTCCTTTGATGGCTTTCAACATTAGAGGTTGTAGCCAGCAACAACCTAGAGAGTTATTGGGCACATTGGGGTACTATATTTTTTGTTTGTTAAGAAAAGTGAAGGCACCCAAGTGTCAACATACTTCGGTTGTTTGCCAGTCTGATTTCCTCATCAAGTTGCTGTTTGTAAAAAAGTGTTGGACCCGTTGGGCGTGGAAGTCGATGCTGTTGTCCGTCCTCGTGGCAAGCATCGCGACGGCCGTGGCCGTTTGGCCCAGGGGGCGGGAGGACGCCCGGAGGACGCCGGGAGGTGTTCAAGGGCCAATCTGAAGACCTGGTTTTGCTTAGTAGGGTGATGTTTGTTTGCCAGAACTGACATGGGCCTGGGGCATATGCGGTTTTTGTTTTTCCAGTTTCCAAGAAGCAAATCCAAGTATGGAAGATCCTGTCAGTCCAAGCACTATAGGGACAGTGTTTTTGAACTTGTTTCTTTGTATCATTGTTTCACCATGTCCTGCATCTGAAGTATATACTATATATACACCATTATACACCCAGTTTGAGGTTCAGGTTTTTGCCCTGTGTGGTGAACATGAATAATTACTCATATAGATATTCATAGATATCCTTGTCCAATCACAGGTTCCAAATTCAAGATTCCAACCTCAAGATAGTCAAGATACCCCGCGGATGTCTTTCTCCATCGCCACGGCTGGTCCCTTCCCTCCGCGCCGCGGATGTTCGCGGCTTGCGCGCCGAGCGTGCCGGCGTCCCGCGGGTGGGGCGTGCCGCGCGGCTTGGGCGCCGGACACGCGTCCGAGAGGCGGAGCCGGGTGTGGTGGGAGACCGGCCGACTGGTGGAAGAAAATTGGGGGTGAAAGAAAGAAAGAAAGAAAGTGAGGGATCTTCTGAATGGCAGGTTTCTGGAATTTGACCTGAATTTGTTGCTGTACTTCGCAGCGAAATGGAATGGGAGAAACCGAAACTAGGCCGGCAATGGAAGGACTCTGAGCTTGACAGGTGTCCGAGGGTTCATGGTTCTAGCAAGAGTACATGCCCACTATAGGCGGCCATAGGACGCAACGAACGGAGCAAGGACGGGCATCGCTACGAACGGAGCGATCGGACCCTACGAACGGGAGCAAGAACACATTCCCACCAAAAACGCTGGGCTTTGATGTCGCTTGCGGCCATGGCCGTGCGCGGCTTTGGCCGGCAAGGACGGAGCATCCAAAGAGATGGTGCGTGCTGGCCGTTCGGTCGACGACAGATTTGCCCGGTCTTTCCTCACTTACATTTGCCCGAATCCAAGCGCTTGGACTGCTTTTTTCACATGGTTCACCTGGTTTGCGCGCTTGGATTGTCCAAAAAGAACCTTGTTTTACCACACTCAGGTTGGTCCGCTTTGCCATGAAGTGGCCCAAGAAAGAGAAAAACAACCCACAAACTGCTATTTAAAAGAATCAGTGGAGGACGGCATGTGCTTGATTGCATTGCTTCAACTACTTTGGGAGAAATGGTTGTTCTGCAATTGGACTATCGCATGATTGCTCAGTCGGCGAAATGACTTATCATCGCAGTAATGTTCAGTAGCTATTCTTCGCAAGAACCTTTGCCATCCCAGTCCGGTTCCAATACCTTTGACGGCTCACTTGTCATTTTATGTCATGTTTGTTGACGTGTTTTTTGTGAATGGTACTAGTAGCTTCTTGTTACTACTAGTAAGGCACTTGTTACTAGTAGCGATGCCCGAAATGCTCCGTTCGTAGCTTCTTGTTACTAGTAATGGCCTCCATCCTGGATGGCCCCCAACCGGATGACAAGCTCGCCGCTTGTGCGAGCACACTGCCAGGCCATGTGGGCCAGGCGTGGAGATGCCACGTGGTCGAGCAGCTGGCCACTCGGTGTTTCCACCGATCCCGTCACCGTCGCAGCGGAACGTACTACGAGGGTCACCATGGCAGTCACCGCACATGTAGGGAGAACATGGCATTTGTACAGACGTGTAGGAACCAACTGGGTTGGGGGAGAAGAATTATTCCAAGTAGAGAATTGTGGGATGGAGAAACATGGAAACGAAACGCACCAATGGCTCAGGTAACCCGATTCTTTGGATTCGACTCTGGGGGGTTGCCGAAAAAACCTCGCCATCCTCCATGAATGTTTCTTTCCCATAGCACTGTGATATGGAGGGTCATGGATCCTCAAGTGGATATTTTCCCACGTGTCATAACTTACATCCTCGAGTTGCTTCATGATGATCAAGCATGGAATGACGAAGTGTAGATTTCGTGGCAGGGGTAACATTGAAGGTTTGGGGCAGAAAAAGCAAGCAGTTTTAGTAGCAGTCCTCGTCACAGTAGCATTAGTGGTGGCCGCGGTCGGCGGTCCAGAGGCCTGGTTTGCCTCGCCATGCTGCCGCAGCGAGGCCGCAACTTGCAGGCGGACCTGGATGGACCAACCAGGACTTAGCACTGCTACGGCCTCCAACCTACTAACAAGTGCCACGCTAGTAGTAACAAGTGCCGTACTAGTAGTAACAAGATGCTATTAGAAACAAGTGCCTTACTACTAGTAACAAGTTACGAATTTCATTAGAATTTAGCACTGATTGCGATGGAAGTTGGACATTGGATGTCCTGGACCTCGAAGGGTTCATTCGACACTGCTGTGTCCAGTCGTCGCCGGAAACATCGAGTGGAGGAATCATTCGCCACGGCTAAAACCTAGTTTCACAGGTCAAGCACAACTCTTTTAAAGGGCGGGTGTTCTTTTTGACTGAATGATGCAAGTGTTACATTTGGGACCTTCTGAGTGACATTCTGAGTGACAGACACGTGCTTTCTTTTCGAGTTCTTGGTGCCCGAACAAAACTATGGGTGTGCTCGGGTATGTTGGATCACTAGGAACATCAAAACACTTGGTAAAGGAACCTTCATGGTAGTTGATATATGCCAAATGGTTCGACTGTGTTCATTGGTGTTTGCGTCAGCCAAAACTGAGAACATCATTCTTTTGAAGTCCATGGAGGTTGTCAAAGCATGTGCACTCGCGTCAATTCACCAAGAGGGAGTGGTGGGGCATTTGAAGATTCCAGGATGCCTGACCCATTGCCAAGCCCCATAGGCCACTTCCTCTTCTTGAATCCTTCAAACAGCTGCACGAGATCCTGCCCACCAAAGAAGGTACCTTCAGTAAGGTGATAGGTTCTTGTGAGCAACAAAGTTACTTGACTTGTACTTGTTGCGCCCCTTTGCGATGTGTGATTTAAAGGCAAAAGGGGCGCAACACCATCTACCAAGGTGTTCAGCCCCCCCACTGCAATCCCGAAATCTTAAAACAAAAACATTCAACGAGAGAGGCCTTTGTGACTTTCTGTGGTCCAAAACTCCGGTCTTTCTGTCTCCGGGAGGCGAAGGCACGAAACAGATGACATTCAGCGATGACATTCCACGCGCCACGCGCCAGGTGAATCGTGAGCTTTACCAGAAGTTGCTTCACAGCTCGCCAGAGGTGCCGGCCTTGATCTATGACTGGCTGAGACAGGTCTCGAACAGGTCTCAGGTCAGTCACTCATCCTGGCATCGCTACGAACGGAGCCAGGTTCGCTACGCGCCAAGACGTTTCTGAGACCCAGGTGCCGATGCTCATGCGATGCGGGGGAACCTCCGCCGTTCCGCCCGTTGCCCCAAGGCGGTGCTCGGCCTTTGTGAGGAGCAGCTTGGAGGAAAGGTCTCTGAAGAGGTATTGCTTTTGAAGATGAAAGTAGTCTTCCAAAGTTCCATGGCGTTCCATGGTGTTCCATGTTGGTCTTCACGGGATCACCTCTGAAGGGATGATGTCTCCCCAAGTTGGCTAGATAAGGTGCGGGAAAGACTGAGGTTGTATGTAGTGAGTTGGTTGGAGGTTCCCTCGTTGCTTTGGGAGTTTCGAGACTGACATCACTCCAAGTTAGTTTCAACAGAGCAGACTCTTCAACGACCGCGCTCTTTCGTGGAAAGTCCACTGAGCTATTTTTAGAGGCCAAAACAAAATGCACAGATGCAGGAGATGTGGAAGGGTCCTAAGAGGTCTCTGTTTTACCGCATAGGGAAAGAGTTCTCAACGTCGTGAATCACAACTTCTTGTGTAGTTTTATGTGGATAGAGATTGGCTAGCAGAACTGTTAACTGTCGGAACATGCTTGGCAATTGGCGCAGAACATGTGTCTTGGTCCTCGTGCTGGAGCTCTATTTGACTTGACTGAGGTATGCCGGTGTTTTGGCCACTTCACACCGAAGTTGAGCTGGGAGTGTTCCGGTTTGTGGAGCTGGGAGAGGTGAGGTTGTCCACCCGTGCGCAGCGACCCATTCACCGGACCCACGAACGTTGGTTGTTGGTGCCATGGGGTCCGAACCTGCAGCTTGTTGGTGTTTGTCGATACTTTTCGAGGCTTATTGGTTTTGGGACCTCCAGTAGGATACGATTTTTTGTTGCCCGAAACATGGTTGCCGAGAATTGAGTTTCATGTTAAATGTGCTTTCCCTCGGCAAGAGCAATATGAAAATAGCCGCACTCCATGGCGGTATGATAGTGCCAAGGATACTTTTTGCCATAGTGGCCTCAGCAGCCATGCCATAGATGTTTTGCAAAAACTTTACCACTAGTCATTGGTGGCAAATATGAGAACACTGAATAGGCTTTGTCAGGTGTCCATGAATCTCTACTACTTAGTCAGGTGGTTCTTCCATCAAGCACCAAACTTGAGAATTAATTACAGTTGCACTACGCGTTTCAGAGTAGATGGCACAATTCCTAAAAGGATGTTGATACGGACCCCCATGTAAAAAACATCTTGAATCTTAAGGTTTGTGCCATTTACTCTGAAACTATTGAAAGTGGGAGTTTGTTTGGTCGTTCCAATAGTTCAAACATGTCAGAATCCCAATGTTCGACCGGCCGGTTCGATCATGCAGTATGTTGAAAGGCTGGTTTACACTCAGCACCTGGTGGTTAAATTCCGTGGCGAGGCCCGGAAGTGTTTGAGGTGTGAAAAGTCCAACAAGGACCGAGCCAGTGCTAACCCATCGGTAGGAAAGATGATCTTATAACTGGCTCCACATAGGACATATATATATATAATATATATATATATAATGATTAGATTAAATATGTATTTCCACAGCTGTTACAGAAGGGTCACATTGGGGTCCTGGATAATCCAGTCTCCCTCACCCGTGCCAGAAACATGCCTCTAAATTATTTAATTATTGGATACACATTCGCACAAGGTGTTTGTAGAAGTGTGTGTGCTTCTTGTTCGAAGGTTCAACACATGTGTTCTTTTGTTTGCATGTTGGACACGAATGGCCACAATTGAACCACATCGCCTTTTGAATCCGTTTGGAGCCATTACAAACCAAGGATGGTGTGAACCTCTCTGCTGCACTGCATCAATTGGCGCTCAAAAGCAGACGCGCTGGCACAGCCACGAGCGCTTGTGGTGCTTTGGTCTCCGATCCACGCTTCGCACAGCCACGAGCCAGCAATGGGGTTGTTGGGGAAGCGAAGAATAGGGGACAGTGGTAGAGCCAAGGATAGCCAAGGTGGTTGGTCAGTCGGAAGGGAGTTTGTAGGGTTCAAGATGACTTGTTGAATTGGAAGCTTCAAGACTCTTGGAGAGAAAAGATTTGATGTTGGGCAATATGGTAGAGGACTTGTTAGTTTGCGTAGATGCAAAAATGGCGATAGCGCCTCCAATGGCATTCTTCATTGAACCAACTCTTGAATTGAATGCGAATATTTATAGTAACAAGAAGCTACTAGGAACAAGTGCCTTACTACTAGTAACAAGAAGCGAACGTAGTAACAAGTGCCACGCTAGTAGTAACAGAGGCGATTCCGATCCTGCCATCCCAATTGTTTTTACAAAGGAAGAATATAAGAAAGATACCATACATTCTGGAAAAATCATACTGGGCCCTCCAAACAATGGCTTAGGGGAACACGGTGGGTTCTTTCTGTGAAGCTGTCAAACAGTTCTTGCCATCTTGACAAGCCATCGCTATTAGGTTGGAGGCCATCGCTATTAAGTTCCTTAGAGTTTGTTTCTTAAAGTGTATTGTTGGGCTTTGTTGAAATACATAGCTCACCAACTCAAGGACCTGATGATGTGTCAAACATGCAGATGATGCCTGCTATATTTTTGTGCAGACTAGACATGCTGCTTGTAGAATCACTTGCCTTGGTAGTTGATTTGCTTGTGTTCAAGCCAAGACTCATTGGTGGAGAAATCAGATAATGATGATTCCCGAGGTATCCTTCATCAAAATATACATGCCTGGACACCCATGCAAAGTGCGTGTACTGACACCGAACAATTCCAACATCAAAGCGCACCAATGTTTTGATACAGGTGTACGTTTTTACTTTTTCCCAGGTCAATGAGATCAATGGCCAAAAAACAAGCATCCAAGCTGGTGGGCTTCTTGCTCCTCCTGATGGGTCGTCCCTCCCGTTGGCCAGGTTGATGAACTCTCTCCTGCAGGTTTTGCCATCCTTGGAGGCGTGGAGAGACCACACCTGCATAGCGAGCAATGCCTGGGTTTGCTAGACACACTATAAGAGAAAGACTTTAAGACTTTAAGGAACCTAATTATGATGGCCTCCAACCTAATAGCTATCGCCTCCAACTTAATGGGGATGGCCTCCGACCGTTGATTTTCGCAAACTGGGTGAGTCTTCAGCAAATCCAATAACGAGAGGGTATCCATTTGGCGAGTTGTGTCTTGCTGAGTGCTTGCTTGCAATTATGTAGATGTTGATGGTGAAGGGTTTTGGTGCATGTGAAACGAAGTATTCGTTGAAGCAGCTTCTCCTCATGTTCAGAAAGCACTCTTTGGTGAACAGGTTGATCAAACATACTTGCAGAGGCCTCTTGAAACGTGTGAATATATGTGAACAAGTGAACTATTGAAACACAGATTTCAGCGCCGCTGTTTGACGCGGAGCGAACAGAGGCACAGAACCTGGCCAGAACCGCGTGAGCGTTCACCAAGCTCTCGGTGGCGGAGCGTGAGCGTTCACCGATGGTCACGGAGTTGGCGCGTCAGGCGAGACTAAAAGACCCAGAAAGGATCCGAAAAAGCACTGATCTCGTCTTCTTACGTTCGTAGCTTCGTGCTCCTATAAGGCAAGGAACCCCGTTCGTAGCGAACATTGCTCCTAGTAGTGATGCCAGGAGCCCCTAGTAGCTTCTTGTTACTAGTAGTAAGGCCAGGAGCCCCGTTCGTAGCGTTCTTGCTCCTAGTAGCGATGCCAGGAGCCCCTAGTAGCGTTCTTGCTCCTAGAAGACCATAACTACAAGTGAGTCGAACCCTTTAGGTTCTGGGGCCACAAGTGAGTCGTAGCAGTCTAGGTGAGCTTGAGCCCTCCATGGCTACACAGCCAAATATGAAAGACCCAGATGGCTGGGTCAATAGATGTTGTAGCTTAGCGCTCTCATATGTACAGCCCAGTCTCAGAAACAGATGTTCCCCCAGTTCCAGCCAGTTCCTGTGTGGATCTCGGCGCCATGGACCGGAACAACCTTACTAGTAGTAACAAGTGCCACGCTAGTAGAAACAAGTGCATCGCTTCTAGTAACAAGTGCCTTAATAGTAGTAACTAGAAGCTATTAGACCATTTGTTTCTTGTTTGGGTTTCCAGGAGTCACTGTCGTGGCACACACACGACACCCTTTCTGGAAAAGCCTTCGCATTTGGACGCTTTTTGTGCTGGTTTTTGCGCTTGGCGGGCATTGACTTCTAGACAAGTGAGACGCACCAAGTTGACATCACCTGCAGGTGCCAAGATGCACTGCTCAATTCCAACCACATTAGCTAGTACCTTGGCATCTTCGCGGAACCTGCGTTGCTTTCTGCTGCGTCGGTCTTCGTCGGTCGTTGAGCATCGGTCGCCGAGATGCCCATCAGCGGTCGCCAGAGACGCCGTCGCTCGTAGGTCTCTGGAGACCAATGTGGCCTTCGCATGGTTTCGCATGGTTTGGCCAGAAAACACGAATGTGAAGAATGTTGGAGCTGATTTAATTGATGGTGTTAAATAAAAGAAATGAGAGATCAAAAGGGCTAAAATATGAAATATATATATATATAATACAATAATATACAATATATAAAACAACACTCCCTGGAATCAGTTCGTGGAGACTCCACCGTCTCTCAACGGATCCTCGGATCCTCGGAGAGTCCGCCTCAACTTCGGCGTTCTCGATTTCATGGAGAGAGAAGAAAAACATAATTCATTCAATGGCCAAATAACAACAGCAGCAAGAAAACGTCGGCAGCCCGACTGACAGTGAATGGTGTGGTCTCCGTGTTTCCTTTCCAAGGGAAATTGATACTTGAATGAACACATTTGAATAGGTTCAATGTAGTTTTGGAAAGAGACGCTTCCCTGAATTGACCAAATAAAGAACTAATCAGAACAACAGCATCTTGCAGACAGAGCAATAACAAAAGAAAATAAGATGAAATCATAGCTAAGGAAACCGGAGATCATATCAAGACCAAAGCAGACCACATCATAAAAAGATATACTAAAACATGTCGCCAATCCACACAACATGTGATTATAGCGCCATGTCGCCATGCCAAACCTAACAAAAACGAACAAAACCAAGCAAGTTCGATCTCTCCTTTCCTGTTCTTCCCTTCTCTGAGGCCATGCTCGCTTGGTCTTTCGGCACCTTGAGCGCCCGCGCCGACGCGCACCGCGCGGCCCTGGAGCGCCTCGCGGCGGCCGCGCGCAAGTCGGCCCAGGCACCGCGGGCGAAGCGCGGAAAGGCGGAAGGCGGAAGGCGATGGGCCTAAGACAAGAACAGATGGAGCGGTCAAAACAAGCATTTTATGTATGTTTTATTGTTTGGTGGTGGATTTGTGTGTGTGGTGGTATGTGGTGGTGGTGGGGTGGTCAAGTTCAACAAGGCATGAATGGCAGGGTGGTTCAAAGGAGGGAGTTGGAGGAAGTTGTAAGTTGTTTGCTTTCATGACACAAATGACCTGCAGGCTGCAGGCTGCAGGGATTGTTTTGAGGTTTGATGAAGGGTGTGGTGAGTGTAGTGACGTGATGAATGGTTGAAAAGAACCCTCAAGAGTCACCCTGACCTCGAAGAAACTTCCTCACAGGCCGGATGTCTTTGAGCAATCATGTTTGTGAGAAGAGTTGTAGTCATGAATTGGGGTCAGTGGATGATTGAGGTCCCTGCCTTGCGAACTTAGCGCAACCATGCGCCCCACCCCACAGATGTCTAAGAGCTTGAGGTTTTTGAGTTGTTGAACTATTTGAACTCTTGGCAAATTTGGTTTCCATGGATACAGACGTCATTCCACAAATCCTTTCAACAGACATTGGACCACTGTCTTGAAACACGCTTTAGTGTCTCTTTCCAACCCACAAGCCACTGTTTTCACCATGTCTCTTTGCCATCTACAGAATGTGACAAGTAGTAACAAGTGCCACGCTAGTAGTAACAAGTGCCTTACTAGTAGTAACAAGAAGCTAGTAGAAACAATAACAAACACAGCATCTGGACCATTCCTTCTGGCCACTGGAAAACTGCACGCGCTTTGCGGCTCAGCTTCTGCGTCAGAGGAGTTCAATGCGCGAAGCTTGTCCAATTTCGCATGAACCTCAGCAAAGCTTCTGTTGGCGGAGGCAGACTGCGGGCGACTGCGGGTGGCCGGGGGGGTAGTGGAGACTTCTCGAACAAACTTGCAAGGGTTGCCATAAATAAACTTGCAGTTTCCTGGTGTAGCGTAAAGAAATCAAAGCGCTCTTCTTGTCAGTTGAGATTGGATGGTTTCTGTCTCTAACACCGTTTGTTTAGCCGCTTGTCTTTCCACACGGAAGATAAACCAAGTACCTTGGATGGAGTCAACAAAAGTCCTGCCATTGTCTTTCTGCCCTGCTTGATGGGTGACCCACACGGAGTTCTTCGGAGTTCTTCCTCAAGGCTTCTCCGGCTTGGTTCTGTTGAGCAGCGCAATCTGTTGTTTGATTGGGCTGTTTGACCCAGACTTCCAGGTGTATAATCTTACGCCCAGTAGCTTTGCCCCGACCAGTTGGAGCGGCAAAGATACATTTTCACTGTAAGACCCCTTGTGCCTCCGCAATAAGGCAAAGCTCATCCAAGGGTGTGTTGCTTCGATGTGTACAATGTGTACGCATTCCTTTTATTCTAAGTAGACCTAGTGAAGACAATCCCTGTAAGCCCACGTTTGATTGGAAACAAGGAGAATCCCTGGTTGATTTCATGGTTGAGGGTCCCTATACTATACTCATCTCCGAGAGGTTGACACTCCCCTAATCCCTAGTTGAATGGTCCGTCCACCACCAAAGAAACGCTAGTTGTTTAAAGGGGTTGAGCCGTTGAGCCCCTAAGAATCCCTTGTTGATGGGCGAACCATGCGAACCATGGTAGTCATGAGTGTGTTGGCCAGATGGTTTTGCCATAGGCGAAGACAATCGAAAAAACGTTCGTTCTTTACCCTTTTTCCAAAAGGGTCACGGTTAAAACAGAAAAAGTAAAACAAGTTGGCCAAAGCATTTGACCAAGTTGGCGCGGGACAAAGAAAAGGGTTAATGAAAAAAGACCTAGGGTTTAATGTCGGACTATGTCGTTGTTCCTTTGCCGTTTTCTCTGCGGCGGCGCAAGCGGGCACCCCTTAGCAAAACATCGCGCGCGAACCGGCTTAGGACAAAAGCCGAACTCTGGGAAGAGCCTCCATGCGATGTATTCTAGAGAACAGGTCTCCGAATAACATTTTTCGTGCAGGTTTCTGAGCAAGGCTATCAAAGAAATTGTGCTAATTTTTGTTGCTTTGGGGTATAGAAGCATACTCCAATAGCCATACCTCGATAAACCCGATCATGAATAGTAGGCCCCTATATTCTATGGTGGAACCCCATCAGGGATACCCGATAGAATCAGATATTCCATCCACATGCGATGGGTTCATCGGTGTGAACCGGCGCGTATTACAATAGGAAAACCCCCAAAGACCGGAAGAAGGGACACTAAAACCTGTTGGCTTGAGGTCTCGCTACACGGCCGGTGGGGAGCAGAAGAGAAGAACGTCAACGTTCAATGCAGACGGCAGATCAGAAAGGGCTTGAATATGCTGTGGAGAATGTGCTCTCTGAACGGATTGATGGATCGGTACCAATTTCACTATCTGAAGGCACAAGCTGCTATCTGAAGGTGCGGACGACACGGCGCAATACTTACCCCACATGGACAAGGCGGCTCAACGGCTGCGCAAGCTCGCGGAGAGCGCTGAAGCGAGCCGGCCTCGCACCCCTTTCTAAGAAGGGTGAACCCTCCTGGTTGAACCAGCGTTGCTGACTCCTACCGAGAGCGTTTGGCTCCGGCTGCCGCGCTTCCTTGAGGAGTACGGGCACTCCCACAAAAAAAAAGCGCGCAGGACAAGGCAAACAAAGGCGAAAGAGGCTAAGGCCGGGGTGTCGGAATTTCCCCAATTCTTCATTACTACGCCAGGCCAGAGATCGCCTGGCGTCCCACCAGAGGCCCAGTGGCCAGAGTGGGTTCGCCGCCGGTGCGCAAGGAAGCGCAAGTGGACGGGGCCGGGTGAGTCCAGTCTGCCGAGAGAAGTGGCATGTGATCGTGTACCGAGTAGTAAGGCACTTGTTACTAGTAGTAAGGCGCTTGTTTCTACTAGCTTCTTGTTACTACTAGTAAGGCACTTGTTTCT